CACACACACACACACACACACACACACACACACACACACACACACACACACACACACACACACAAAGAATATCACACCAATCGTTTTTCCCAGGAGCAAGACGCCCTGAAGCAAAAGAAGTGACCTATTATCACTTGACTTCAGACAGTTCAGGTAATGCTACAGAGCATTAGCATTTCTCTCCCAGAACTACCAAACCTGTAATCTGAGGCGTCATCAAAAACCAAAACTTGGAGCTTCCCTGTCGGCTCTGAATTGGAGATTAATGTTGTATAAAATGTTGTGACTTAATTTAACATTTAAATCAGCTAAAGGCCGATCCAGAAGTAGCAAGTGAATGTTTTTTCCTTTGATTTTCCACTCAGCACTTCTGAAAGTTCAGGAAATCTATACAATGTGTTTAGCTTGCTGTTTTTTTCACCTCCCACTGATTGAACAATGAGTGCTTGGTTTAAAACTTTGTTACTAGATTTTTAACCTGAACATTTAGATCCATTTAGATTTGATTGAAGCCACAATTTGGAGATCTGATTACCTCTTTTGCTTTTTTTCATCTTCTTTTTTGTCTTTTCCTCTGAAACATATTAATCTAAAAAACATTCATTTGGGTTTGGCTCAACCCACCAAATTGGAAATTAGATCAGTTAGTGGACAAATTTGTTCGAGACTTTGATTTGATTGGCCAAAAAACTTTTTCCACTATTTCTTTTTTTTAAAACCCAAGAAAATGCTTGTTCTTCACAGTGACATTGAAAAATGCTCAGGTTAAGTGCATTTTTACAAAAATCATCCCCCTGATTCTATTAAATTATAAAGCACTTTTTCCTTCATTTACAAATTATGTCTCTATTCTAAAATAGGCTGCCAATTATAAACACGTATTGTTTTAAGCATCACATGATGGTGAGGAGAAGGAGGTGGAAGAAGAACCTGTGCAAAAACACAGTCGGGTGTAAGAAAAAAACAAGGGTTTTCTGATTCTTATTGTTATTATTATTTTTTAAATTCATTTAAATACTTGGAAGTTAAAAAAGACGTTAGAAGACGTTACAAAAATTTATTTAATTCTTTAGTTTTTCATTTTTCTGTTGCAAATCAAGGTCAGTGAAATTACCATATTAGTTACCTTAGGGTTAGGGTTGGGCTAGTTAGATGCCATGATGTTGAGGGGCTGGGAGAAATACATATAAGCTCTTCGACTTCACAGAGAGGGGTTGAGGCCATTTTGGATGTTTACTGAAGTTTGGTTTCTCACTCGAAAAAGGGTTAACAACCAGTTGCTGTTGTTTTGACAGTAGAATGTTTCCCTTGCTCAACAGGACTTCGTATTTTTCATGTAAAATATTGCAACATATCTTGACAGTTTGTTCTGGACCGCAGGCCTGACCAGGCTTGGCACTCGGACTCGGTCATGCTCTAGTATTACTCACAGAAAGTATTTTGGTTTTATCTTGATGAAATAATATGTCATTTAGCATCATTCATGATTAATGGTGCCTTCACAGATGTGCACATTTGCATTAAAGCACTCCATATACAATATCAGATGGCAGCTTTTGAACTGTAAGTAAAAAAAAAACAAGCTGAATGGCCCCTCTCCTCTTTAGCCCAGAGCACACAACATCTCTAAGTTGTCCATGAAGAATTTCAAATATTGATTTCCCCAGACCACAGGACCGTTTTCCCCTCAACTTGAGCTTTAAATTGTGTTTTTCTTGAAGAGTTTGAACTTACTGTTAGTGCAGCAATGACCTGTATTCACCAAGATTTTATTTTTCTTAGTATTTCTGAACCCGTGCACAGGAATTACCACACATTACTGTAATCATTTAATAATAAAATACAATACAATTTTATTTATATAGCACATTTAAAAACCAGAGGTATGCCAAAGTGCTTCACAGAACCAATTAAGAGCAATAACAATGTATATGTAGATAATAAAACCCCCAGTTTACTTTGTATTTTTATGTTAAGAAACAGGTACTCACGTTACCAAAAACCCTCATAAGTTCTGCTGGGTTTATTTTCTTTAGCATTATACAACTTTTCCAGTCTTCTGTTGCCCCTGTCTTAACTTTCTTTTTGAAACATGCACCATTTTCAGTTAAATGTAGTTGAAATGACTTGTAAGTCATTGCATCATTTTTCTAATTTACATTTTACACAAAGTTCAAACTTTTTGAAGTTCATGTTGTGAGTTTAAGGTTTTGTACACGGGTCCTTTCCCCGTTTTTTGACTTTTTCTTTATTGTTGCTCCTTCTTCTCCCCTGCCTGGTCCCTGTCTCCATCTCTCTCACAGACCCACATGGCCCCTCATTCACCATTGGTAAGGCCATATGGCTGCTGTGGGGTCTGGTGTTCAACAACTCTGTGCCTGTGCAGAACCCGAGGGGCACCACCAGTAAGTTCATTGTCTCGGTGTGGGCCTTCTTTGCTGTCATCTTCCTGGCCTCCTATACTGCCAACCTGGCTGCTTTCATGATCCAAGAAGAGTTTGTGGACCAAGTCACTGGACTCTCTGACAAGAAGGTGGGGTTAAACACACACAAATGGACATGTAAACACACACGCGCGCACACACACACACACACACATTCACAGTCAGGGTTGCTCTTGTAATGGATGCCAGCCCTGCAGCCAGACAGGACTCTCTAGGGAGCGCCCTTGGGCTTCAACAGCCCAAGCCCTCTGGCCGTAGCTGTCACCACACTAACACTGCCAGCACAGCAGACCTACAGGCACACACACACACACACATACACACACACACACACAAGCTGCATAGATCAAAGCCGTGTGTGTTTGTGTTTGGATGTGTATGAGTGTGTGTGTGTAGTTTCCAGGGGCCGGCAGTGTCAGCAGAACCCCAGCCAGTCTTACGCTAGACTGGACACACAATGATGATGACTGATGAGTCCACTCCACTGTCTCTCCCACCTCCTTCCTCCTCTGTCTCTTCTTGTCACTTTCCACTCTTCTTCCTCTCTCCTCTCCCTCTCCTTCGTTTTCACACTTTAGCTCCGACTCCTACTTTCGGCCCCCCCCCCCATTTTTTCACTCCTACTTTGTCTTCCTGCTGTCTCTCACCACTGCTCTTCATCTCTGAGCCTTTCTGTTTTAAAGTTTCTCTTTCCCTCTTTGTGCTCCTGTCTCACGCTGTCTTTACCCCCTTTGAACAATATGTCACTATTTCGCTGTACTTATTTTTCCTCACTGCAGTTCCAGAGCCCGTACTCCTATTCCCCTCCTTTTCGGTTCGGGACGGTTCCAAACGGGAGCACCGAGCGCAACATCAGGAAGAACTACCCAGATATGCATCAGTACATGACCAAATACCATCAGACCGGCGTCGTGGATGCACTAGTCAGCCTCAAGACCGGGTACTGTTAACTTGTCAAGCCAACTCACATCAAGGAAAGATTCTTTATACCTGAGGCGGTCATTCTGTTGGCAAACACCACATATGCTTAAGAACATGTGAAAACAAACACAAAAAGAGTCATTGCATCATGCAGGAACTCGACCCCATGGGGCTAAACAGTAGCTTATGCTAAAATGCTGCAGTAACTGTGCTGAGTGTTTCTGTCACTGACATTGTCTGCAAGTGCTCATTATAGAGTCTTGTTGCTGCTGGAAAGAACGAGCTGCCAAAACAGGGAGAGTGTAATTTGTTCTGGAGTTCGCTACCTTTATTCTTCCATCTAAACACACACTAAATAGAAGGATGGCTACAGTGCTCTTATTTGTTCATTAGTTTTGCAGGCTTTGATCTTTCTCCAGAAATAATTTTCATTTCTTTGGTTTTCTTGTTCCGTAATAATTACTTTATTGATACTGTATATGAAAGAAATAAGGTTTGTTTTTTAATACACTAGGCTTTGTTTATACAGCATCAAAACTGTATAATGAAGACGTTCAGCAGCATCATCAGTATTTTGCTAACTTATTAGGCAAAAAAAATGTTGTTTTGACAGAGAAAAATATAAACACTTGGGAGTCTGAGTTAAAATTTCAGTCCAGTCATGAAATAGTCTGTGACGCACATTCAGGACGCTCTCTATCCTTTAATTAATTTATATTGTTTTCCAGTGCTGTGCACAGTTACACAAGTGAATATTAGTTTAAAATTATCTGTGGAGCAGCAACTCTCAGCAACAACAGATCGCCCATGTATTCATTTCATACAGTATATGCGCATTTACATCCAAAGTATAACTTATATTTATGCACATGTCTAGCCCCAAGGTATACTCATTCTATTATATAAAACCAAAATGAAGTTAAGTGCAGGCTTCTTCTGTTATATGGGATGATGATAGAGGGTCCTTGTTGCCTTGTATTTGGTCAATCATTCATCAGGCTCTATTTTGTCTATTTTATTCCTTTGCTGAGTTCAGATGTATCAGGCTCACATCTGGGCTAGTATCAGACACAAACTGTGGCCTCTTAGCTAGCAGCCCATAGTGTCAGTGCAAAAACAAGATCTAAAAACTGAAGAGTACAAGCCTGTTTATGTGAAAAATATCAGTTACACAAAATTATCTTTCCTTCTTGTATTTGTTTTTAACTGAAATGGGGGGGGTTAATCCCTGGAGAGGTACGTTTTTCTTGGTTTTATGAGAAAAAGGCAAAAGTTCATACAAAAACTATAAAAATAGTAACTTCAGTTACTACTAACCAATTGTTACAGCTATTGTACAACTGAGCATTTTGGAAGTACCCCTATTCGTTTTCTTTCTGACTGTTTAACAAGAGTGATGCCACTTTGATTTCTAAATGTAAGAGTCTAAGCTAGCTGCCAGTTAGCTTAGAGCAAAAACAGCTGTCCTGACTCCACCAAATGTTATGAACACTACACCAAATGATATCAAAAGCTGAATAATTAGCACAATATTAGTTTAAAAAAGGAAGCCTAAAGACTACACATTCTGTAATATGTAAAGCTAACTGGCTTTAGCTTTCTATTAAATCAGTGGATCTCAAACACTTTCAGAAGGTGGAAATGGCTCACGTTCAAAATCTTGCAATTTTAATTAATAACATTAAATATTATTATTAATAATTTAGTTCACAGTAAAAAACTGAGCCAGTTTGACTGTCGGTGAAGTAAAAGTTTGTACAAGTATTAGTAAACTCTTTTTTTTAGCTCATCTGGCCAAAGGAACAGTGAGGTGTCTCCCACTGTGAGACATCCATCATCTGCCCACAATTCACAAAAAGCATTACTCTTCCAACGTTATTGGTGAGACTTTCATCTAACTTGGACACAATGATCACGTAATGGGACTTCACCCAAACCGAGCTCCAGGTCCTGATTGTTGTTTTATATTCTGGCTTCAATCTGTTAGTGCTTAATAAGTATACTATATACTACTTACAGGAAGCTGGATGCTTTCATCTACGATGCGGCGGTGTTGAACTACATGGCGGGGAGAGATGATGGGTGTAAGCTGGTGACCATCGGCAGCGGTTATATCTTTGCCACTACAGGTTATGGCATTGCCCTGCAGAAAGGATCCTACTGGAAACGCCTGGTTGACCTGGCCATACTGAGCATCATAGGAGACGGTAAGCTGTGGAGAGCCATCTCAGTCACACACTGTACTGAAATTGAAAGTCTCTAAGTTGTTGGAGGACTTTGCTCAGTTGTGCCATCGCTCAGCTTTCTCCTCCTTTACCCCTCTCCCTCCAACACTCAGCCTCCCTCCCTCTGTCAGAAAGCTATCAAGGGCTAGTCTTAACACACCATTTCATCATCATTACTCTCCG